TTTTAAAAGCTACATTACACTTTAAAGTTTATATAAAAAAGGTAGTAAAGCTCTAAAGCATAATAATTAGTTTAGCTATATAAAATTTTTTTAGAATAAATTACTAATAAAATCTAGTAAAGCCTAGAAAAGATTTCACACCTGTTATAGTAGTAGGCGCCTACTAGTTATGTAGCACCTCTACTTTCTCTAGGTTAACCTCTAGTCCTTTATTTAAAAGTATATAGCTAAAATACTTTATTTAAGTAACATAAAATTTACTTTTTTTAATTTTTACTTATAATCTTACTTGCTAGAGCCTTTCTAAGACTTTTTTAACATAAAGGATATAAGTTACCTTATTTTTAGAGTAAATAAGAATGTTATTAAAATAAGTAATGTAGAAATTATCTAAATAGTTAATTAATATATTATTTATATAGCGCTAGTAAGTTGCTAGACTATTATATAATCTAAAAGGCAAAACTTTACACTTATAGATTTTGTATTATGTCTAAAAGGTAGTACACTTTTTAAAGCTTAAATTTATCCTAATCTTATTAAAGGCTATGTAAATATTAAACTTAGTAAAAATTACTGCCTTAGTAGGTTTTAACAAGAGTTTATCTATGCATAGTATTAGATACACATTCTTACAGGTAAGAGCGTTAAGTTTGTAGTAATTAACATAAATACATAAGTTGCTATTTAGTTTCTATACATAAAAGATAGAAAATGTAAAAGGGCTCTAACTCTACTTAATAAAGCTATATTTTAAATTATTTATAACATATTTCTTTATTGCCTCTAGCTCCTTAAGGTTCTGTTTGTACAACAGACTGTAACTATTAGGGAGAGGCTCTATAAGGATAATCTTATAGTTATATAGACAATGTACTAGTAGCTAGTAAGCTGCTGTGTAGCTAAATACATCTTAGTACTAATAGTATTTAAAGGGCAATTAGAGGTTTACTAATGCTTTAGTTTTACATTTAGCGTCTAACTATAAAGCTTACTTATCTTTAATTAACTACTTAATTTTATAGATAAAAGTTAAAAAGAACTTGTTCTTTTTTCTTTTTATGTTAAAATAAAAAGCATTTACTAAAATTAAAGTAATAGTAGCTAAATAAACCTCTTTTAGACCTATTCTAGACTTCTTAATAAATAGGCAGAAAAATAATTTAAGTGTTTTTAGACTGTAAATAATAAAAGATCTATATAATTTTAGTAGCCTTAGCAAACCCTTAATATAGTAGATTGTTAGGCTGTATAACTGCTAAAATTAGTTCTTTTCTTATAGTACATTGCGTTGTTTAATATCTAGCTCTACTTCTTTATTACGCGCAGGCTAGTTTAATTGCATAAGTAAGGGCAGTAAAGGTTTATAAGTAGGTAGATATTTGCTAGGCTATATAATCTAATTTTTTTTATATTTAGATAAAGTTTAAAACAACATAACTATTTAATGCTAATAATATAATCTTAGAAGCTAAGGTCTATAATAATAAAAAAGCAGTTTTAGATGCTTCTCTTATTAATTTACATATGCAGGCAGATATACTAGTAGACAGGGACTTAGATCTAATCTTAAAAGCCCTTAACTATAACTTTAAATAGTAAGTGTTAGATAAAGACATAGAAGCATTAAAATAATAACTTAGTAGTTAGTAAGTTAATAAATAAAAAACTATAAGCGCTAGTATTAACTAAAAAATTTAAATAGACTTTAATACTTTTTAAATATAAAATAGTAAAGACTTAAAAGTGTTTTCCTCTAAATAAGTATAATAAATTAATGTTTAATAAATTATACTTACTTAAGCCTAAAATAAAAAGTTTTTTTAAGTGTTACTATTTTTTATCTAAAAGGCATCTAGATTAAAATTATTTATGTTTATAAATTCTTTTTTAAAATCTTACTACTCTACCTCTATTTCTTATACTCTAGAGATAGGGCAGTTGCTAGTAAAATGTTCTAGTTTTCTATAATTATAACAGTTACTAGAAGTTGTCTATCTTTTAAAGGCAGGTGTCTAGCTAGATTGTCTATAAGTAATTAAAGTAGACTAGGGTACTAATAAAGGTGCAAGTTAGGGTGCACTAGAATAGTATACTGCCTTAGATGTATTACTAGAAACCTTCTAAGACTAATCTGTACTAGGTCTAACAGTAGACTGTTAGGTAAGATTAATAGTTTACTTTAAAATAGCAGAGGTATTTCTTCTTTCTATGTTATAAGCTATTAGGTAGGCTACTATAGTCTTAAAAAAGCTCTTCTAAGTGTGCTTAAAACCTAAGTTTAGTACTTTTAGGCTAAGTAGTATCTTTTTCTATAAGTAAAAGAACTATTCTACCTTTAATATAAACCCTTTAATAGTAGCACTAATAAAGTAAGCTTTAAAGGTAGAAAACACTTCTTTACTTATTTTTAGAGTTTAAAACGCCTATTGCACCTCTATCTTTTTATTACTAGTAATAAAGTAAGTTTATAAAAGCTTAATTATTTTTTTATGTTCTTAAACTAAAAGCAATCTAATTTAGCTAGGTATCTAGGCTCTAGGTATTCCTTCGCGATACTAGCAGTGTGTCCCTATACTAGCGCTATGCGTGCGCGCTTACTCTAATAGTAATCTACATTAATGTTAAGTCTATCTATAATAAAGGCTTACTATTATTTAAATGTAGGTTCTTTGCTGTCTATAAGGTTCTTAATCTTAGGCGTGCGTTTAGTAAGGTAGCTTTAAAGAAGCTTAAAGGTGCCTAAAAGGTCTCTTACTATTAGTGTAGTAGAGGTAATTTAGGGCATTATTAGAGGTAATTTAGTAGTTAGTAGGGAATAATTAAGACTAATAGTTTTTAATCTAGTTAGCTATTTAATTTATGCCCTTAATTAAGCAACTTAGTTCTTAAGGGCTATACTGCTAGAGTTTAACTCTAAATCTAGTAGGTTTTTAGCTTTAAGTCCTACAAAAAAGGGTTTAGCTATTAAAGTTAGTAGTAGTTTAGTTCTAGGGGTAGGCATCTTGCTACAGCTGCAGCTAGAATAGGTTGCAGTCTTTATAATAAGATCTAATAGTAGTTAAGAGTTAGGCATTAGTAGTTGTCCCTAATTCTAATAAGTTATTAGTAGTCTTTAGGTTTCTACCTTAGCGCACTCTTTGTAACTTTTCTAAAGGCAATCCTAATTACAGGGGATAGGAAGTTCTAAACCTAAAGGCTTTAGTTAACAGAAGGTCTCTAGAATTCTGTCTATAATAACTAAATAATTTAATGTAACAGTGTGTAAGAACTGCAACTTAAACTAAATTAGACGCTTCTTAGAGTTAGATATAGTTAAACAAACAATTAATGCAATATTATTAATAAGGCTGTTACTAGCAAAAGTGAGTTTTCTAATATAATGTAACAGCGCAGGCAAGACAATAGGTCTGAATGCGGTATGAATCCACTCAGAGGCATATAGGAGTGCGTGGGGACTCAGAGACCTGGGAATACCAATGACACCTATAGGCCTTGTACGTAGGATATCAGAAAACTACCGAGCTAGCTACAGGGCGAGGTGCGACTAAATACATGAGGGAATAGGGGTAACAGCAGGGGGCCGGGCAGAGTCGAGTCAGGGTCGAACCAGGGTCGGAGCCGATACGGAGACCCTTCGGATAGGATCCGAGCGACCCGAGATGGAACGATTCGTAGAATCGTTACAATAAGAGGCTGTCATCTAGCAAATCAAGTACTTCAATACTTAGCGCGTCAGACTAGAGGAGAATTCAAGTACTTTTAAAGCGTACAGTGGAGGATATCTATAATTCTTGTGCACAACAACTTAGTTAAACCATCCACTATATCACAGTTTAAAAAACACTTCTTAAGTACAAAAATCAGCGCCTTAGAGAAGCTCTAACTAATAAGAAGAAACGTCAACAGTGTAGTAAGCCTTTATTACTTAAAGCGCCTACTAAATATGCTAGTGGAGCAGTCTTTTAGTCTCCTACTAAAGTTACTAAGGCTGTCAGATATGCGCACCTACTGTCAAGACAGGAGGAACGCTTGACGAAAGCTGCTACATAGTACGAGCAATAAGCTCGAACAGTATGTTGCAGCAAATTGCAGCATGTTGCAGCAAATTGCAGCATTTTACAGCATGTTGCAGCAAATTGCAGCATGTTGCAAGCTGGTCGCGCATAGGGCAAGTGCGCGAGGGACTCGGATCGGCAAAACAAAAAGCCGAGCAACACGAGTAGAGCAGAAAAAGGATCGATAAATAAACATGATCAATACAATCAATCAATCATCCCATACATCATATCCAAACCCATCATTCATCTCAGGAAGCCCAGAAACAGTGCTTCAATCTGACAAAGGCACGTAAGAGACAAATCTAAAAAGAAGAGGAGAAGAAGGCTGCGCAGCTTTAAAAAAGCGAAGCAATAAGGCGCAAAGAGCAACAGAAGAAGAAGAAGGCACAATTACTTAAGGATAGGCAGCGTATAAAAGCTAAGGCAAAAGAGATTTAGCTTTAAGAGCAGAAGGAAAAGGCTGCTAAACGTAAGGAGCAGTAAATTACTTAACAAGCTTTAAAACAACTCTAGCAAGAGCTTAAATTATCTTAAAAGGGTAATAAAAAGAGCCTTAAGCAGCGCGTAGTTAATTTAACAGCTATTGCAGATGTCGCAGCTAATTCTGCTTCAGTTGTTGACAAGCCTGTGCCAACCACCTTCTCGCGTCGCAGCCGCAAAATCAACCTTCCAAACAGGTTTAGATAGTTGAAATTAGTAGTAATCAACTCTATGTGTATTTCTGATCATTATACTAAAAAATCTTATAATTGTATTGGATATATAGGGCTCTGCAGCTGCAAAAGTTGTAGGTGAGTTTTTTGCGAAATCGTGCATCAGGTGGGGCCGTGCATCAGCTGGTGAGTCACGTTATGAGTAAGCAATTTGAGCCGTGGACTGGGCACCACGTGACACAGCTAGTCGATCAAGCCCTCAAGAATGAGCAACGCCCACCTCCACCGTCTATAAAAGCTCCGCAGATTCTGACATCTCTTCTGAACGTCACTACGATGGGTCTCAGTAGGGTTGGCTGCGTCGTCTGCGGGTTTCTCATCTACAGCCCTATACCATCAGGATCCGGGTCCTGGTTGAGAGAATTTCGCGCAAGTGAGTATGCCGTGAGTACACCTTGACGATTCTGTGCTAATGGATTTAGTCTATTCATGTCCATCAGGCACCTTCGTATCTGGTGTCGGTTGCCATGAGGACGACACGGATGGTATATGGATCGCGCCGTCTGATTCCGCCATGCGATGGGACGACGATCATCTTTTTCCTGTGATGGATGAGATTCCAGTTATGCGACAGCATCCCCTGAATGGTCGCCATGGCTTTATACTTCATGAAGCTTGCTGGAACCTTCTGCAGAGAGCCTTTCAGCCCAGCGAGATCCCTCTCAAGCGGCTGCTCGAGGTCTGCGAATCATTACCATTTCCACTTCGAGGAGCCGGCGTATGTTGGGGCCACGACTACGGAAGCCTCCTCGTCCTCGACCACCAAGACCATTATCCCTGGGAGGACCGGCTCATGGCGGATAACGCTCAAACGAGTTTATCCGCCAATGAGAACCCGTACAACGTGCCGGAGATCGCTTCATTACTGGTGATACGTCAAGAACACCCACAGGAGTGGTTGCCTAAGACACAACAATATGACTGCTTTTCAAGGCTCCCATGGGAGATCCTCGAGGCTATAGCCATTGAGTTGTCTACTGATGATGCCCTAGGCCTACGCCGTGTTTCAGGGGCTTTCCTGCCCCTTCTGTCCAGTAATATCTTTTGGGCGTCTAGATTTGAGGCTAGGAGCGACCGCGGTTTTCTGTTCGAGAAGTGGAAGAGTCAAGATGTTACGGATTGGCTGAGTTTGTATCGGCTTACCAGTCAGACTCATAGCTCACCTGGATTACAGAATAGAAGGAGAATCTGGAACTTAATCATGCCACTTACCGATTTGCTCAGTCTACGCCTTGCGGAAGATTCACAGACGGCCTGCGTGGACCAAAATGTTACCTGTCTGAGATGGAGCAAGGTAGCAGGAGATATTAAGGACGAGGCATCTGACGGGCACCCGAGAGACTTCAACGAAGGCTGCCGACTCTTTGGCACACATCTTGCCTACATACCCAAAGATCTCTCAAAGATTAGCTTCTCAATCAGCAGCATCGGGAATGTCACCTATGTCGCAGGCATACGCCTCATAACTGAGAAGGGACCCGACATATGTCTTGGGTTTGTATCCGATGACAAGCAAGTCATCCGTGAAGCCACGTCACTGGGAGGATTCATTCTAGCAGTGGGCTCAAGAGGAATCCATGCCCTGCAAGTTGTCAGCAAGGACGCAAGCCTATCGGAGTGGGTTGGCTGTCCGATCAACTCGCCCATAGCAGAGCGCCTCGCCTGCTTCAACTCTATCGCTGCCTTGGAAGTGAGCTTTGATGTAAGTACGCGATTGAATTACTATGGCTTATATTCTGCTTGTACTCATATGTCTGTATAGGGATATAAAATAGTTAGTCTCGGAGTTTTGGAGAACGTCTCGCCTCCTGTCCAAGCACCGAAAATGCATGACTTGTCATTACGAAAAGAAGCGCTATGGTATCCTAAGGTGCCCGAACCTGGGATGTGCCTAAACGCAGAATCATTTACGGGTGAGAATCCATCAAGTACTGGATACCAACCATTATTCTGGATCCATTTCGGCGGTCCGGGTGGTAGCTACCTCGATCATGTGACCGGAGTTTCTGTCGACTGCCCAAGGGGCCTCTACAGTTTAGAGTTTCATTACGATACAACTTATGGCCCCGCTGGAGCGTACAAGCTTGGCCGTTCCAAAACTACAGACGTTTCGAAGATCCTGAATTTCCCTATTGATGGCGCCGGTGGTGAGCTCATAGAAACCGTCGAAGTCAATCTCGAGCGAGTTCAAGTAGAAAATGCTCCTAGTTTCCTTAAACATGGAAAATTAAACTCTATTAGGGTGAGTTACTCAGATCTCTAGAGCAAATGCAATTGTGAGTCGGCACCCATTGTCTAACTCTCGTGGTGCGTTATAGATCACGACAAATCGCAAACGGTCCTTCCATACCGGGGCCTTGTCAGATAGTGCTACTCTAAGACCCGTTTCGATTGCTTCCGGAACTACCCTTACAGGTTTTTATGCAAGTCAAGTCAGTACAGACCCTGCCGCATTGAAGATGAACATTGCTGACTAGAGAGTGAAGCACCCAGAGTATGGTATTATCAGCTTAGGTGCAATTTCAGAAGTCATTGATAGCACGCAGGAGAGTGGGTCTAGTAGTCGCTTGTATTCATAATGTGAACTGTTTCTTAAATGATAGCAGACTCTATTTAATGGCCATTGTACTGCCAGCCAGCTTGTAATAGAATTTAGCACCTTTCTACCAATGATTTAAAGGCAAAAAGACTGCACAGGCTACTCTTTTGACTCTCTACTTGACTGATAAAGTAATATCCGGCGTGCATCATAACGTCACTCTCTGAAAATGGAAGTCTACATCGTCTAGAAATGGGGAGACAGTTTCACGACGGATAAGGGGTAAGAGTTGGTAAGAGTTGGTAAGAGTTCGTGATCACGAAATTCTATCGGTATGTGAATTGTATTTTCTTTCGCCCCTAACTATTACTAAACGCCAAAGCAAAATGCAAACAAGTACTTTACAAAACGAGTGACGCGAGTACCATTCCTCATCCAGCATCTCCCCTGTTCAGCCCATATCCCAATCCACTAGCCTCCAGAACCATTGAGATGTAAGCTCAAGAAAACACTATGATCCACTAGCATACTGAATCCATTGGCGGCTCCCCAAATCATAATACATCCAGTTAGGAGCGAACCAGTAAATCTTTACTCCATTATCATGCTCATAGTATTGTCCTGTTTGGTCTCTAAGGAGCGGCCTTGCTGGACCTGAGGCGGAAGAAGCCGTAGTGCCTTGCTGAACAGGGACACTTGAGACTGCAGAACTTATCGCAGACGCATCATCCCCGTGTGACGTCTTCCGAACAAAGTCTAGCAGAATCGCATGTATCTCCGCCTCATCCTTTGCGAGCTCGTAGTGTCTCCCGTTCGTGCCAGGATAGTCGATGCATTGCTGCGCGTACGGATCCAGTTGGTAGAATCGGGAGTAGGTTCCTATGTTGACGGCGCCGTAGAGAGTTTTTGTGGGGTCTTGACCGGGTTCAGTGCGTACCAATGTCATGTACCTGGTGAGTTGGTCGAGGGCGAGCGCCCAATGTTGGGTCTGACTCTCCATTCCTTTACGCTTGTCTTCCATGAGGATCACCTTCTTCGGATCGCCATTCTTGATATAACGGATGGTCCAGTCGGCACGCTGCTTGGTGACAGTTGGAAGCACACGCGCTTCCTGCTCGATGCCGTACTTTAGCTTCTTCTGAAAGTAATCTGGCAACAGATTAAGCCAGAAGTTGTCAACATCGTTCTCGAGGGAACCCGTTTCCTTGATCTTTTGGTAGTAGTACTGCTGGGTTGCGTCGCTCATGTACTCGTAACGGTTAGCGGTTGCTAAATCAGAGAGAAGTCTAGCCGACTTACATAGTGATATTCAGACATCTTGATGGTAGAGAAAATGAAGAGGGGGGCCAACTAGAGATATAGGCAGTTTGTTGGTAGGGTGAAAACGGTGTTTAATTGCTATACGCGGTGGTAGACGGCTGTGGAAAGTAGTGGCTAATAATTTTCGAACTCATGTCCTCCAAAAGTGGTCCATAGACCCATATTTATAGGATAAAAGGCACATATTCACTTCTTACTCTCCGCGATCATAGTTAGCATACCGTTATCTCTTTTTTTTTTTTGGTGCATGAGGCAGGATGTACAGCTGGAGCCTATCACGAATAACGTTCATCCAGCCGTTAAATTCTTGGGAAAGTGAAACCCACGCCTCCCCACACGGGTTGATAGTAGCCTTCGGCGCGAAGCTGGGCGGTTATTCAGCCAATGACTTCCTGCCATGCCCTTCGGTTCGGGGCTGAGTCGACAGGTTATAGATAACCCTGGCGCCAAGTAAGTTACCTATATGCTTATATAGACTAGTAAGCTTTTATATACGCATTGCCTTTCTCTACCTCTTCTAAACCTTTAATTTAAGCTTTAGAACTATTAGGCACGACTAGAAATGTATTTGCTTGTTTGTATTAGATCTACTCGCTAATTTATTTAATAGTTTAAGTAGTATAGAGTATTTAGTACTTTTGCTTTATAGTAATAGCAAGCTTACTCTGCCTATTATAATAGTATTTTAGGTTAATAAGACTTCTAGTCTTAGTTATAATATTATAGTTCTAGTTTTAGGGTACCTAAATGCTAAGGCTGCTAAACTCTATTTTTATTAAAGGGGACACTTTTAGAACTAGGTAGAAATAGACGATAACTTGCTACTCTAGTTAGAACCTTTAATTAAAACTACTCTATACGTTTTATATAATTATTATCGCGTATACTCTTTAAGTAGCCCTAAATGCTAAGCTTATAGCTATTAGCTTGTAGCTAGTAGTCTCTTTACTATTAAAGTCGAAAACTAACTTAGCTAAGCTACTCTAAACTATTGTTACTACGTGCTTTGCGCTAGCTACCTAGGCAGCAGCTGTCTTTCTACTCTTACTCTACATGCCTAGCACTTTGCCTAGCTGCGATTCTAGAAGCATTAGCTTTGCTGTTATTTGTAAATAGCTTGCTAAACTACTTGCTTTGCCTTGTCCGTCCTAAAAACGCGCCTACGGCCTTTTCTAATAGGTGCTATAACCTAAGTAACGTTAACTGCTTTAGCCTATAAATATAAACCGTTGCTTACTGTAGCAGAAGAATAATATAGGCAATAGCTTCTAACTAAGCAAGCTTAGTGTAGTAAAAATAACATATATTAGATAAAGGCAATATAGAGGAGAATGCTATTTTAATAGATAATATAATAATACTATTGCCCTGTTCTCTATTATCTAATAATAGCCTAAGCACTTTTGTATAATCTAGAAAGTCTAAGTTAAAGCTAGTAATAAGTCTAGCTAAAACCTTGTAGGTTAAACTAGTATCTATATATTAACTAGCTATAATACTAAGACTCTAATACAATTTCTATGCTGCCTATGCTTAACGTTAACTATACGCTAAGACTATTTAAATCTAGGTAAACTTTCTACCTACGCCTACCTTATTATTATAATCTAAGTAAAACATTCTACTAATACCTAACTTCTTCTTAGCAAAGTTTTCTATGCTGCTTAACTAACCTATTTATTAGCTTGTTATTATCTAAATAGTTGTTAGCATCTCTATTCTTCTTCTAGTACTAGATCTAGTAATCTAGCCTTTATAAAAGTCTAGGTTAGGTTAGATTAGCTCTATAGAAGTTATAAAGCTTGTGTAGGCTATTTTTAAAGTTAGCTGTATTATACTACTTTAGATTATTGTTATAGCTAAGCTATTTCACGCGGTATTTAAGCTTTCTTCTAAAGATACAGGCCTCTAGAACTTACTTAACTTTATATTCGTCTTTTTTATTTTCTTAGGCAGGAAGAGCTAGGTTAGACTAGAAGCGCGCTGCTAGAGCGTACTTACTCTAAAGTCTAGGCAATAACTTCTCTATACTATAAACTCCTTCGCTATAATAAAAGTTTATACTCTAGAAACTATTATTTTTCTTATTTACCTTAGCATCTACAGTTTCTAAAAGCGTAATATTAGTTTATAGGTAATTGCTTAGCTAGGATAAGACACTAATACATGTTCTAGAGTATAGATACATTTTTGTAGTTAGGTAGACATTACTTATATAAAGCTATACAAACTAGCTACGCGTATTTCTACCTTAGAATATATAAAAGAAGGGTTATATACCTACCTATTATAGCAGTATTAAAATATAGTATTATGTCTTTCTAACTATAGGTGCGTTACATTTAAGGCGTAGAAGTCTACCTTAAGCTCTCTATTAGCTAAGTAAAAGAGTAGAATATAAAGAAGCTTTATACCTTTAGAATAACATTTCTTAAACTATCTGTTCTCTTAAGAAGCACTAAAAGCAATAAACCTACGTAACTTAAAAGCCTATATAGAGTAAGCTATTAAGTAAAGTAGTAATAAAAACCTAGTAGGTATAAAAGTTGTGTTCTCTAACTAGTTAAAGAGTAGAGACCTAAATAGTAATAAAGTAGAAGCACTATAGTAATTTATAAACAACTAGGTTTACTATATTAGAAATAGCTATAATATAAATCCTAATATACAGTATCCTTATATATAGAATATGCACTAGTACACTAGATATAAACAAGTTTGAAAGAAATAGAGAGTAGATTCTATAGAGTAATAAACTATTTATCTTGTGTAAACTACTACTATTAAGCTAGCAGTCTATTCTAAACGTTACTAAAAATCGCTATTCTAGATAGAGTGTATCTACTTAAGAAATTACAAGTAGGCATTTTATGTTACCTTGTCAGATATGCGCACCTACTGTCAAGACAGGAGGAACGTTTGACGAAAGCTGCTACATAGTACGAGCAATAAGCTCGAACAGTATGTTGCTGCAAATTGCAGCATTTTGCAGCATTTTGCAGCATTTTGCAGCATTTTGCAGCATGTTGCAGCAAATTGCAGCAAATTGCAGCATGTTGCAAGCTGGTCGCGCATAGGGCTAGTGCGCGAGGGACTCGGATCGGCAGAACAAAAAGCCGAGCAACACGAGTAGAGCAGAAAAAAGGATTAATAAATTAAGACAATTAATACAATTAATAAATCATCCTATACATCATATCCAAACCCATTATTCATCTTAGGAAGCCTAGAAACAGTGCTTTAATCTGACAATTAAGAGTCTCAGTGCCTCCATCGATACAAAATGGCCACCCAGCCTCCTCGAGACGCGACAGTCGTCCTTCGAGACCACACCGACTACAGAGCCTGGATGATGCAGCTGCAATTGAGATGTGTAGCGCACAGCATCTGGCCGCAAGTGGATCCTAAGTTGACCATCCAAATGATCTCCAAACTAAGAGCTCCAGAGATGCCGCTAATAGCTAAGTTTTCACCAGCCTCCAACGTCAAAACGCCTACGCACATAAACAAGCTATTAACAAGCAGTGTTAGAGCCTTTAAAGAAGCTATTAAATACTACAAGATTAAGGCTAACAAGTACAAGAGTAACAGACATAATTATAAAAAAGAGTAATTAAGCCTCTAACAGATTATTATCTTTATCTAGTTAACAGTTAGCCCGCATCTGCAGCGTACATGCTGTTCCCTAGATTAACTACTTAGATAGTGGATTACAAACCTTAAAGCTATAGTAGGCGTTAACAACTAATTTAAACAAGAACATGTGCACAACTAATATAATGCATCTCTAAAGCTGCTAAGAAACGCAAGCATATAGAACCTGTGGCTAGCAGAGTATAATTACGCTGCTACAGAAGTAGAGACATAAAATGTTCTAAAAACAACGCAGTTTAATGCTGTTATAAAGAACTTTTTAACTACTATAAATAAAGTTGCCTCTTATTAGTCTATAACTTTTTAGAAAAGCAGATAGTTTGCACTAGACATAAATTAAAAAGAAATAATAAAGCGCTTTTAAAAACATATAATGTTAAATTATCTAATACATATAAGAAAGCATAAAGCTGCCTTTATAATAAATAACTTATTATACCTTACTAAAAGTAAGAAGACTACCTAGGGCACAAATAGAAACACCTGTAGTGCAGAAGTTGTAATGTTAAGAAAATAGAGTAGACCTTAACATTAATATTATTAAAAAGATAATAAAAAGTTATTCTTAAGCTAGAAACCTACTAAAATAGAAAGCACTAAATGTCCTACATGTAGACACATTTATGCACTAAAGGACTGCTTCTATGTCTATCTAGACAAAGCACTAGACTAGTAGATGCTAAATAAAAAAGTTAAAGAGCTTATAGCATTAAAGCATAAGCACAACTTAGAATTTTAAGGCCTACTAAAAGGGCAGCGCAGACATAATTTAAAAATACTAATTCTAAAGAGTTTACATACACCTATGCTAGAGATACAAAAAAACTAACTTAAAAGCTAAAAAGTATTAAGAGTTAAGGCAGCTACATTACTAGCTATAGTTAATTTAAACTAGAACAGATATTTACTAAGAGAATTATTTATTCTTAACTTAGGCTTAACATACTATATTATAAATAATTTTAATTAAATCTATAACTATTATTTACTAACACTAAAAGACTTTATCTAGTCTAAAAACTCTTATATATAGATTTAAAGCTATAAATTAATTACACTAAGCTTAAAAAGTAAGCATAGAACACACAGTTAAGCATACAGTCTTGTACTACATAACACTGCACTGTGCCTAGACCTGCTGTGCAACCTAGTCTTGTTCTGCCTACTGCAATAGAAAAGAATTTAGTAGAACACATAAGCAGAGCTAACTGCTTTAAAAGCCTTAGATAGGATAATAATTAAAAATCTTATAAAGATCTATAGCTAATAAGTGTTAGA